ACAAACAGAGTAGGGTAAGGTACATTAATGGAAAGTGAAAAATGAAATTTCATCTTCATCGTATTTACTTTCTGTAGAGTGTAGTAAGTCTATTTTGAAATTAATGTTCGGTACTGTCCTCTTTGTACCCTTCGAATCCAACTCCAACCCCATCACCCCCCCCCCCCCCAAATCTTACCCCTCGCAATGAAATGAGCCCCCCCTTATGAAGCCACACAAACCACCAGAATACAAAAACAGCATCTGGTAAAGGGAAACATGGAGAAGATGGCAAGCTGTGCGATACGATGAGACAGTGATTTCTCACGTTAGTCATAGCCCATCTCGGCCTCATTGATAACACCTCTCAACAATGCTTGTTGCGTGCATAGACTAACACGGTATGAAACATGGATATTTATAGGAAAATTATGCGGTGGAAAATTTCTACTCATTCACAATCAGCTGTTTTGCCTTATATGGTGTCAAAAACATTGATTTTTTTCTTCTCTTTTGTCCTGTTTAAGTTGCATACCAACCTTTCTGTGAATGAGTTTGCTTATTATTGTATGTTTTACCATTATGCTTTTATGTGGTACTCCAAATAGACCTCCAAACTCAGGTGAGCTGGGGGTTGGGGGGGGGGGGGGGGGGCGTGGTTTCACGGGCGTCTGGACCCCCATTTTTCACTTGTACGATTCGATTGGCATTGAACCCCGCCTTTTACAAAAGAATTAAGTTAACCTCATGTCTTTTAAGATAGAGGTGTTGTAGAACATAAGGTATGGGATTTACTTCCCTGCCACAGCACAAAGGTCCTTTGGCAAGACATTAATCTGCATTTGCCAAACTTAACCCAGGTGTAGTTGAGCGAGTACCTGGTAAGATTTATTCCATGACTGCACTAAGTGCTATGTGTGCCAGATCTAAAGCTGGGGTAACATCCAAAGTCTTTTGCTTATAAGGACATATGTAGAGGTGTTGGTGTCTAGTGGATGCTTTGTCAGTCCGACGATCTCAAAGTTCTCGGTTCAAGTCGTGCCAAAGGACTAATGTCCTTAGCAAGACATTGATCTACATTTGCCGCTCTCCACCATGGGTACTGGCAGGACGGGAACCAGCTTGCATGACTTGAGCCCTGATACGTTGCCCGATACTGCATGCACCTTGCAATTGCATGTTGGATGTTTGCGTCATATAAATATCCAATATTATTACATATCATAATGTGGTAAGCACTATTCAAGACCCAGAATAATTAATTTCCTTCTTTCTTTTTCTTTGCCCCTTTCAGATCACCATCAAGGAGCTCCTCACCACGGCTTGCGAGACCGAACCAGACCCTGGCAGTGAGGTGGTAGTCTATGATCAAGGCACACTGGATATTACATGCCTCACCGCTGACACTTTCCTGAGTGTTCTTCTGGCCAAGCTGAACGAGAGCTTCAAGACTGTGTCTTTACTAGCAGGTAAAACTTGAACAAGACTATTCATAATTGATCAATGTATTAATAACTTGACTCTCTCCTGTACAGAGAATAACTAATATTCTCTGAAATGTATGAAATGATCAAACTTCTATACAATCATGGATTACTTGTAACCCTTCATGATGTTTTGGAGGAGGGGTACCAAGGAGTGAGTATTCCACCATCTTTTTGGAGTTTAATGTTCAATGTTTGATATCTGTTATCGGTTCTTTTGTTGTTCTATGTTTGGATGTTTGATGTTAACTGGCTGTTTCACTTGGGTTATGAACTGCAGAGGGCAAGAAGGGCATACCTCTTTTAAAGATGATATGGAATAATACCCTTCTGGCTCTCAGCGAATGATGTAATGTATAGTTAATCTGTTTTGTATGTATAGTGGTAGATTCTTATCAAAGCTCCTATGGATTATACAGGTAAGAGAAATGCTAATTTGATATTTCATAATTTATATCCAATTCATTTTTTGTCTTGGTATTTATGTTTTGAAAAAATGTACAATGAAATGGGATAAAATACCATTTTAATCTCACAATCGAGGCCTTTTGTGTTATAGGCCCAGTGTGTTGTAGAGCTACAGTATTTGATGCTCTGGCATTTAATGATATTTATTGTCATTACAACATTGAAAAAACATAAGTGGTTGAAACGTATTGCCTATACAGATCTTAGTTCCTGTATTGATTTGATGAGAATGAGAGAAAGGAGTATTCAGCTGGATGAATTATAATAGAATGACCTTAGAAATGGAGAATATCGTCGCTGTTTTCACGAAGTGACGGTAGTGAAAAAAAATTGCATTCACTTTGCGTGACGATTTTCGTCACTTCGTGAAAATAGGGACGATATGATGAACTACATGTATATAGCTGTTAAGCGTTAAGGCTCAAACAGAAAACAACAAGCAGAAGAGGAAAAATATCAAGCCTCAAATGCATAGAAGCCATGCTTTAACATGCCACGACTTGCCGCAGTGCTTGTGTGTGATGAGAACGTTATTAGAGATGAGCTCGCTATTGATGCCTCATCGATGCCTCATCCTTGCCGTGACTGCAAGCATCATCTGATGATGGCCAAGAGAGGGCTTTTGACCACGTCATAGGACGGTCTCCGTAGGATGGAGTCAGCTAGGAGCGTGGAAATAACGTCTGAAATCATTTCCCTCTTGACATGCTGAGAGAGTCGTTTTGTTTTGAGATGAGTGTTGAGCTTTGTAACTCCTTGTGTAGATCTTTGGTGACGTAACGTTGGGAATGTGTTCATTGTTTTACCATTTCAGTATTTTATTTCACTGTGGAAAGAACATATTTTCTGTCATGTTTTTTAAACTGCCATAATATTTGATGATTTTCTGTTGTAAAAATACTTGACTCTAACAGGTGCCCGGGACACACGCATGGGCGCCCCAAATCTAAGTCCAGACCCCCCCCCCCCCCCTAATTTGAAGTTATCCTATAGGGAACGTACACACAGACTGTAAAACGTTAAATCCGGATCCCCTTTCAAACAAACGTTAATTTGGAGCTCTGGATTAAGTCATGTTGTGAATGTTATTTTGTGCATTGCAGTGCATACTTTTCACATTTATTTGCATGTATTATCCTATATGTACGATTTCATTCCACAATAATGTTTGTCCTTGTTGTACTGCATTCATTCATTCTGTATCTTTGTATTTGATATTGTTTTATTATATCAATTAGTAACTTATTCCTTTATTGTTAAATTGATGTTTATCAATATCAGTTTTGTTGTATGGATTTCTGTGTAGTATGATTAATTATAATTTGTGATTTCTGTTTGGTTTTGTAGTGTTCCAAAATTCCATTAGCACAATCAAAGAGTCAAATTAGTGTGGTCTGATTAAAAAAATACCTGATCAGGCTATTACTGCTTTTGTGTATTATCATACACAAATTTGTTGCATGTTTAGACAAAATGGGATAAATATAATGAGTCTTGAATCAGATATAAGACAAGTAACACATCAACCATCTTGTAATGGTTATGATTATTGAGTCACCCCTCGATTCAGACAAGACATGGGGTTTTCATATAATGACATCATACATATATGCATCACTCAGGCGTATGTTACATGAAGGATGTCTTGCGATGAATAATGATAATTAATCCAACGTTTGATGAGCTCATCATTATCATAGCTAACCGCTAAATTAGATGATTACTCATAAGAAGTTGAAGGAAATAGCCTCAGACAAGTCGACACACCCCCTCGGCTCTGTGGTGTAGATTAGTATTATATAGAATTTGTGATATATGAATTCTTTTTTAATTAATGGTGATTCATCTAGATCTTGATGGAGTTACTTAAACCCACCTGATGCTTGCAGTGGATCATTGCTTTCATAACTACAAAAGTGTGAATGAATGAAGGAATGAAAGAAAGAAAAACAAAAAATCAACAGTCTACTGTTCTTGCTTGATTCTTGATGTATGTTACATGTTTATGTAGGTATTTTAAATGTCATCGGCTAAAAAATGGACTTCTATAATTGTATTCCATATAATTGTATGCCATATAAGGTAACTGCTTGTTCAATAACAATTTTTTCAAAACGTTATTGCATATGATTTATGTTATATTGCTGTATCAATGAGTCATGTTAAATGTTCCCTTTTTTAAATATAGTTTTCTAGTGATTTTTCATAGGTGCATGAAATAAACTACTCAAAAAGCTCTGCAATTGTTGATATCTCTCCTGTTACTTTATTATATGTCATATAGTAACGAGAGATATCAATGCTCAAACTTGAATTGCACAGCTTTTTTGAGGAGTTTAGTAATAAATGTTCTGGTCATAAATAGTGGGAAACATTCTGTTCATAATTGGTTTTGTAAAGTCTGAAGTTTCTGTTGTAATATTCGGTCTCGAGGGTATGCAGAATTTGTGATATAATTATGTGTGTGTATGTTGTGTACCGATGTTGCCAGCCGAAATCATTTAGCTGTTGTTTTCTTTGCTTGAGATATTGATAGTATACAAGGCATATGGAAGACACTGTTATGGAATATATTCCATTGGAATCATACAGTTGTAGAGAATATATATCTCGTTTGATGGTCTCCTTGTTAAGAATGCACTACTGTATTATGAGCGTTGATGAGCGCCTGAGGGGTATGCATCTCTAAAGACCTGGTATCCATCTCCCATCTTCGGGATCAATTAATGGATGTCATATCTTTCAATAACAAACCCTTTTAACAACAAACTATACTGGAATATACCACAGTGATATATTCCTAGATAGCTCCCTGTGTGTTATTGAATAGATAGTCGGTGCACATACACAAAGAATGGGATACACTGTAACGGTGGGTGAGCAGGCGCTGGTAATGTATTAGTGTAAGGGGAAGTGCCAGATTGGCTCGTAACAGCATGACATCATCACGCTGTGCTGTGATTGGTCAATACCTGGGATGACTCATCCTGGGGTTGTCCTTCCTCTCTCTCTCTCTCTCTCTCTCATTCTCTCTCCGCACAGCTGATTATCTGTGTGTGTATGTGTGTAATGACTGTGTGTTTACAATACACCCTGTGTGTCACTCAAAGGGCAATCTCCATGTAAGGCTGTAGAATACCCTGGCACTGCCAGGATCTCTATAGGTACACTCATTCTCTCTCTCTCATGACTGTACCACTAGCGTCCTTTTCTCTCTCTTCCCTGTTTCGCCTGTATCATACACCTCCAGCTCAATAGAAAGAGAGTGTCCCCACCAATTTGCTAGGCATTCATTGTTGACGAGAGCTCCGCTACTAAGGAGACACAAGTTGCTCGATCACGGTAGAGAGAGGACTTATATTGACTCCCGCTCCACGCAGACGAACAGTATCATTGGAATCATACATGGTTCGCCGTTGCCTTGAGTACGTTGAGAGATAGTTTGGCATTTTGGAGCGCAACTTTTTTCCTCAGCCCAATGTTACTGGATTTTTAGTTGTGGATTTAAATAAACCAACCATGGTTATCCAAGTCGAGAGGAATGTGAAAACGGTCGCCGCTGGCGGTAAGGATCGTACGTCTATATTTCATATACTTAAAACTTATTCATAAGGCTATACAGAATTGTTCATATTCAACTAAGAAGCAGATTGTTAATTTGTTTGTGTGTTTCTTCTGTGGAAAAATGTCATTGCAATTTGTAGTAATATTGTATATTACCAGTATTATATGATATCTACAAGAAGAACAACATTTATTTAGGTCTTCATGTACAGGTGTACTGTGCATGTACCTAATCTTTAAGATGTTATACATGCATTGAAAAAATTGTAAACGATAATTTCACTTTTTTGTGTTTAAGTCTTAAGAGGATATTCCACTGGTGTAAGTCCTTAAGGGGAGAATTTCCCACTTTTTTTTATTATGAAAGACATAACAGCTGTACTGGTTAAATGTGCAATCATGTGAGCATATTGGTGAGGTTAATATGCAAACATAGAGTTGGGTTAGTATTGTGTATAATGTAACTCTTACTTTCCATTCTAAGATAAATTATATTTGTCAGATACTAACTATAAATTTGGCAACCATAAAGCTAATGAAACACATTGATATACTGCTTTGCCAAAACCTGAAATAAAAATCACTATTATTGCCATCTAAATATATGGCATCGTAAAAAGTTTTATCATCAAGTTTCATCAGTCTAAAACCTTGGATTTTTGTTGATGCACAATGATTGTGATGTAGATTATAATTATTTTTAGGCAGGATTTTAAGAAGTTTTGTATTATCCTAATTGATCTGTACATCATACTTTATTCAACTTATTATGTGTAAAGGCTGTATGTGTATGCTTTAGAGAACAGTAGGCATTTTTTGTTCTCACTGAAATATTGGAATTTGCAAATTTGTAAATTTTTATATGACATTTTATGCATTACTCACAAGCTGTCTCTGTAGTTTGTTTGTACGTGATGTGCAAGATGGGTTCATAAATATATTGCTAATGTGCAAGTTTCTGATGGTGAAGTTGAACTTCTCATAAATTCTAAACTTAACAAAGTTAGTCTTTGAGGGAAAACTGTAAATTCAGCTTTTTCTCTGATGTATTAAATCGGCAAGCGCATGACGTTTATTAAACCAGCAAAAGGATTACGTCATCCCTACCTTATAAAGGGTTTTTTCACTCTCTCTCCAGCGCAATGTATGATGTAGTAACCCTTAAGTACTTGGTTTTCCTGTGGGCCGAGGTGAACGCAAATCGACGTATTTCCTTTTTATAGCATGGATGGAGTGAACTGGTGTAAACCAGATGATAATAGTAGTGAGAGTGAAGTAGAATAGACACATTACCTCAAGGAGATTGCAATCATTTATCTCTACCGAACCATTGTGTCCCTTTGACCTTTGTTTCTTGTTCTGTTTCTCCATCTCTAGCTCAATCTGTCTTTCTTTTCTCTATTCAAGTCTCTCTCACTCATTGTTTACGTCTCTGTACATGCTTCTCTTCATAGTTGATCCTTTCTTTCTCAATATCTTTTGCACATGGCCTTCAGCATTAAATATGTAGACTTTTAAAAAAGTTTTTATATTATAGGCATACATGGTCATTCTGTGTGATCATAAATGAGTCTGTACATGTAGTAACACAGTGTATGTCTCTTTTTCTCAGCTTTTCAATGTTCAGTGTATAGTGTATCTCTGTATATGTCATGTCTCTCTCATTCTCTCTCTCTCTCTCTCTCTCTCTTTTTCTCTTAATCTCTGTCTTTCTTTTTTTTTCTCTCTCTCTCTCTCTCTCTCTATCTATCTATCTATCTCCCTCTATGATCGGCCTGTACGTGTGTGTCTAGGGAAAGCAATGGAGAAAGTGAGCTTATAGACCTCACATGGTTTTCCTCCCAAATATGGTCATGTAAACGTCCATTGTAGAGTTCCTACTATTGCCGTTGTTGACTTTGGTTACAATTTGGGATAGTCCGATGGGTCGATGAGTATGATCTTACTATGTACGTTGTTCCGCAGTATGGGACAGATATTGTTGCAGTGCTTTCAAGCATAGCATGAAAAACTGGATCATGACGTTGGAACAAGTGATATGACGTCTTTGTATACATTTGACAAATTGAATAAATATTTGTTGATAAAGTTCAAAGATTAGTCATAAGTTTGTTTTATTACTGGCAAATATAAATCTACATGTGTTTGAAGTAGGACTTTGTAGAGTATTATCAGTTCTGAAATCAGATATAAAGTTTAAATACTAAATCTATTTCAAAATAGATTTAATTCATTCTGTATTGGTACAAAGAATGAAGAAAATGAAGATTTGAAACATACTTTACTTTTCTTCTTTCTTGCCGAAAAAGTGGTAAAGTTTATTGTAAAAATAATCATGAGTTACTGCTGCTGGCTTCAACATTCGAATGTATTAGTTAATACAAATTTACTCAAGATAACATACGACATGTAAATATGTGCATGTACATGTAAATATACTTACTGTATATTATATTTGTGATGAAAATCATTATTATTATGGAGTAACATTGTACCTATTTCATCTTACACAGAACAGGATTCAAGATATGATGAATTTCATAATAAACTTTTGTTCTTCTTCCTTTATAGGTGGCTACACATCATTCCAGTCTTGTTTCCCGTACCTCTGTGAGTCGCAGAACCGCCCCCCTTGCCCCGCCCGTGCCCCCCTCTCACAGCCTTGTCTACCGGTTACCAACACGGGCCCCACCCGTGTGCTTGGATTCTTATACCTGGGATCGCAGCAGGTAAATAGTGACTGAAAATAGTTTTAATCCATGGAATTACAGAAAAACAGTGAGGACTTCGGCTAGAGTCAAGAGAAAATATTGTGTTAAATACCCAAACCAAATAGTACACTTAAATGTCTGCTTTCTAACTGATTAATAAAAGTGCACACGTATCAAGTAAATTGTTCACTTTGTTGTGAATAGTAATTGTTTGGTATGAGAGTCTTTGCAGTACTATTGTTATTTCAACCCCTCCCCCCCCCCCCCCAACAAAAAAAAAGTAATAATAGTTTGGTCATGAAAATATATAATGTATTCTGTTTCTTGAGTGGAGCAAAGCCACTCAAATGCTAAACATCTTGTAGATTACAAATATATACTGAAGTTATTTTTCTTTCAATCATTTCTGTATTTTAGGGAGTTCTGGTTTTTGTACATTTCAGCTGTTACATGTATCACAAATTGTGATAACACAAACCTACATGTAGGTACCTGCATGTAGATACTGTTGAGTAATCTTGGCATTGTATATATATATACATGTGTGTAGGTCTGCCTGCACAAGGAGATAACCCCTTGCTGACTGACTGACTGCAGGCAGGGCTATTCTTTGAGAGAGCCTATTTGATCAGGATATGACAAGTTTGCACTCCTGCTCTCTATCTCTCTCTCACACTCTGACTCATCCCTATTGCCTTGATTCAAGGCTCTCTCACATATGGAGTGCAAGTACTATCGGACCCGATTGATACAGTCTAGAAACTGGTGTTTTAGAGAGTTAATTACATTCTTCTGATGTTGGATATCTATATTTATAAGCTCCTTTCTTTTGTGATAGGTGTGCAGGTGAAATATTTGTACCTGCGTATGATCGAGTCCATACCAATAGGAATTTCATTTCATTAGCCATGACATTATAAATTGCTAAAATTCATTATACTGTACTTAATGCAAGAACTAGAAGTAGACTACCATTGATTTGATTATGGACCTTTCTTCATACAAGGCCTATGTTGTTTAGTGCTGTTGTTTATTTGGAAACATCAAATTTGTTAATAAAACCATGAATACTTAAATGTATTTTGCAGCTTCTGATCATAAGATGATTAACTCTATTTGTTGTGTTATTTTTGTTTTGTCTCGCAGGATGTAATGTCAGAGGAGTGCCTAAAGAATTATGGGATCAATTATGTCCTCAACGTCAGCAGGTCATGCCCTATCCCAGAATTCCTTCCCCAGACCCACTTCCATCGGATACCGGTACGAGATAACCATGGCGAGAAGATCCTCCCATGGTTCGATGAGGCGCTTGAGTTCATTGGTGAGTGTCAGTAGCGAAAAATGTACTAAACTAACCCCTCCCCTTTTTTCTTTTTTCTTTAAAGATGAAAGAAACATATTTTCACATCTTTGAAATAGTCATATAAAATAACTTATCTTCTGAAAATGTCCAAGACATCCTTGTACAACAAAAAAGACATTAATATGTAGGCCAACATAAGCACAATTACTTTTATATTGGTAGTATTCATGTACAGAAAACTGCACAGACTTGTATAGACATTTCAAGTCTGTACATGTTCTGACACTAGATGGCAGCATTGCAATTCTCACCATTGCTTTCTGAGCAAGGCACTGTGGAATGAAGGCTCAATCCCAACTTTGCCTTTCCCTATGGATTTGCACAGGCAATCTGAAGACTAGCTTAAGAAGATGGTCCTGTTTTCGTTCATTCTTTATTCATTTCTTTCTTTCTTCATTCATTTCTTTCTTTCTTCCTTCATATATTTCTCTCTTTCATCTTTATCCTCTCCTTTTAAACATATTTTGTATTGATCTCTCTTCATTCTTCTTTTCTTTTCCCTCATTTTTGTCCTCCTCTATGTTTCTTCTCAGGGTGGGGGTAGACCAATCAGGGATCAATAGCCTGATAATTATCTTCTTTTTTTGTTCTATGGAATAACTCTTTGATTCCAAACCAAAAAAAATGATTCTAAATTAAAAAGAATTGATGAAAAAAATGCTACAAATCATGAACAAATTTCTAAATGAACTTCGTCAATCTTCATCAGTAGAACTATGAGAGATGCCTGGCCCCAAGCACCAAAACGGGATAATTTGGACCAAATTTGTGAAATTATTAAACCCTCATTGACCTGTAGCTATTGCCAGTGCCTTGTAAATTACCTCGTTACAAGCGGTCAGCTCTTACTCACATTCATGATTTCCTCTCGTGTTCTGACTAAGCGATATTCCCAAGTCTTATAATCTGATTTTGTTTGGTTTCTTTTTTGGAGTATGGCTTTTTCTTGGTGTGTCACTGGTGCCTGTACCATGAATCAGAGTCAAATTTGAGTGGTCACTTCCTCATAACCCCCCCCCCCCCCCCATTAGTTATAAATCAGTTACATGAAATAGATACCATATATATATATCTCCTGCTACATGTATGTAACAAGTTAAAGCTACGGTCACAAAGGTTCGTACGAACGATGCTTTCGTATGAATCTCCCCGTTTTTCCATTGTCTGAAAATCGTTCGTACGGCGTTCGTAGCAGTTCGTAATGGCATTTGTGACCGAGGCTTTAGGGAATGAAAGAGTTGCCATTTTTACATATCTAGAATGCATAGTTGCCTTGTGCAACTGTATGCAAACTTTCATAATTATACACACTATGTGATGAAATACATAATACAGTGAAGCTGAGCCGAAATAAGAATCACTAATAGCAAGAGACTAAATACATCCAGACTTCAGTCAGCCATTTTAGCTTATAATTGGCATAGTGTAGTGGCCTACCTTTAAACCCCTCTCATGAAAGTGGTTGACATATGAAGCTTGCCTCTAGTCGTAATTAAATTGTATTTTGATCATCGCGAACTGATCATTACCGAGCAGCCTATTTTGCATTGTCATGTCTGTTACCAAGCGCATCATAATTTGAGTGCTGAAAATAAACCGCCCAGCCGCGCTGCATTGAAAGGGGAAAGACAGAAATACACTTCAGTTTTCACCCGTGATGGTGACGATGAAGATTATGTTGTATGTAGAACAGGTAGCCCGGAAGCCAGACGAGAAGAGTATTAGAGCCTTTGGTAGTTTAATATAATCTGAACTGATACAAGCTTATTTAAAGCTCTATTTATAATCTGGGAGACCCTACTACTCATGCTCATCATGTAGAGAGATAATATCAACCTTTTGCACTATGATGACATTTCTGTGATAAACTGGGAGCCAAGGTTTTCATAAAGCTCTTTCTCTTTCACTTTCAACACTCTCTTCAATATTCTAACACCTCCAAAGAGTATTTGACATCTTTCCTCTGTTTCAATGTTTACTCATTTTAAGAAACATATAATTATAAAGGGATAAGAACTCATATTTGAGCATGTAGGAAAACTATATCTTAATTACAAGATGAAGGGTGAGAGCAGATCTCTGATACTTTGGAAATAATTAGACCTTCACTTGCTTAATGATCAAACGAATATCCATTGTATTGACTCAGTCTGTACATGCACTTCAATCCATATTAAATATGCTGTGAGTCAATGTAGCATGAGGCTCCTCCCAGCCAGCCAGCCAGCCATCCCTTGGTCGTGACTCGGAGTCTCTTTCTAAGCCAGGATCAAATTAGAACAATCTCTCTTTTTCATGACACGGAAATAGAAATGTATAGTCATAATTTTTCATCAAACATCTGGCCACACCTGTCTGTGAAAATTTGATTTGGATATATTCATCATTTCTTATGAGTAAGACAATGGCCGTGATGAACGAATCATCTCATTTGCATAGAATTACCTCTTATCATGGACACCTGCAAGAGGAAATGATGATCTAGTCTTTGTACCAGGCACTTGGAGATTTTAGATGGCATCATGATGATGCATATTTGCGTTGACCCTGCTTGTTTGAAGATTATCAAAACCACAATAAAAGTAAACAGAACATATCCCACGATATGTTTCAAATGACACACAAGCAACAAGTTTAAAAATATATTTATTATCAACCATTCTATTCTAACAGTCATTTTCTGATTTGATATCCTATAATTGTATTATTAATCATTTCTTTTCATTCCTATTTTGTTTTTTGTTCTTTCAGACAAGGTTCGGTCAGCGAATGGAAGCGTCATCGTTCACTGTCTGGCAGGGATCTCACGATCTCCAACCGTTGCCATTGCCTTTATCATGCGATACCTCAATATGAATGTTGACGAGGCTTACAAGTAAGTAAACACGTCCACTACTGAATGCTCACTTTCACATAGGCTTTACACAGGAACCAGCCAGTTCAAAGTGCAATGGGTAAAATGAATTGCCTGACATAGCAGCTGTACTGTTGAAAGCCGGATGGGCATCAACTCTTTATAGGCTGGTGGTCTTTATATACAGGTTCCTTTAGTACAGGTTTCAATGAGAACCGATTTTCAGGGGAAATATAAATGTGGTCTTTATGGACAGGTGGTCTTTCTATACAGGTGGTTGGTACAGCAGGTTTGACTGTACATATAGTCTTGACCTGTAGTTATGATTGATCATCTTGTAATGAAGGTCATTGGTAAAGTGGAAGACGAAGTAAAGCTTGTGATGCATATAGATGCAGCTCAGAGGTTAGGAAGAATGTATTTTTAGTGGATGAGTCAGTGAGGTCAGATTGATGGCCCCGGTATTGGACTCAAGGAGGAAATTGGTTTGGGATACGAGGCTACATGTAGGTCTGGTAAAGACACAGGTCCTGCCAGAATGCAAGGCTGACCCTGATAGATTCTCAGTGATAATGTACAGCAATCAGCCTTCTTGCCTTGCATGGACCCACCCATACATATTCATGCTGTCCTTCAAAATCTTTATCACAATATTTGTTATTCACTGACGTTTGCATTCAGGAAATGATTATGTATAATGGGCAAAACTTAAAAAGAAGAAGACATGAATAACTGCAGCATTTTGATAATTTTTTCAGGATGATTATACAGGGTGTAGTGTGTATTTTGTAGATATATCTAGCCATTCTTCGTATTAGATTAATTCATTTTCACTCAAAATTTCTCTCATGATATAAAGTGATGGATTGGGCAAGTTTGATAATCTGATTTTCTACTTTTTTTTAAATTTTCAGATATGTCAAAGAGAAGAGGGCAACCATTTCTCCAAACTTCAACTTCCTCGGCCAGCTCTTGGAGTATGAGAAGATCATCCGAACAAGGCAAGGCCTACCTTCGACCCTTCAACCCTCTGGACCTCCAAAGGAGGACGTTGAACCTTCAGAGATGAAGGAAAAAGAGGAAGGTGCTTGTGCCAGTGAGCATTCTAGTATGCTGACCTCTCCAAAGGCAGAATCGTCAAAGGTTACATACCCAAGGAAGGGGCTAGAAGAATCGATGCTCCCAATGAGGCCCAATATCAGGAAACTCAGTTTGGAAAACCTCTCGTTGCCATTGAAGTGCTCCTACATGCCGGGCAAGGCAAGCCCCAGGCTGAGCAGGACTTTACCCCGCGTCACTTTCGCTGATGCTCCCACCACACCTACCTCAGAAAACAAGTCGATCAAACGCTCGCTCAGCCGTGACGCCCTTACAGAAGTGGGAACACAGACGCTTGTAACAGAGAAACGCTCTACAAGCCACCTTACACTAGACCTGATGAGTGCCCCGAGCAGGACATTACAAAGACCAACAGGTCTTGATGTTAAGAAGACCGTTCTCTTGCTCAATTCGCCAGGAGATTCAAAGAAGTCCCGATCCCTTTGCAATAGCCCCTCCGGCCTCCTTGAACAACTCGCCTGGGGTACGAGCCACCTCAGTGTACATTCGCCAGAAGTTCGCAATAATAACCCTTTTGTGGAGGCATGCGCAAAGTTCCAGGCCCAGCAAACGGGCTTGAGCACTGGCATCCAGAGGTCGCACCCAGAGAATTCTAAGAGTAAGGTGGAGAGAAAGAAGCTGAAATTAGAAGGACTTATCTCAAACTCTGAAACCATCTGCGCAGAGGTACAAGCTGCAGAGAACTTGATCCCTGCTGCTTCGGGATCATCGGTCCTCACTGCTCCTGCTTCACCTTCAACCAGCAGAAGCCAGAGGCACAAACACAGCGAGACATCCGTAGGGTTTCAGTTTGGACGTTCACGAATAAATCACCCCGACCCTGCTTCAAGCAACACAAGGGTCGCAAACTCCTCAGCAACACAGGACCAACAAAAACCAAGTGCGCTAAAGAAACCAACTTTTGGACCTCAGAACTCTCCACCCCCTATCCAATCCTCAGCAGCCGTCGTAGGCGGAAATGTTTCAAACCCCTTCTTCTCCCGTCAAAGTAGTGGACAATCAGTGACTAGTGACCTTAGTCTTAGCAGCACAGCTTCCCCAGCTTTAGATCCTAGTGGTAGTTCATGGATGCATGGTTCAGTTAGCTCTGGGATCTCTCCAGACATCAACCTAAGCTCAGCTGCTAGTAGTGCATGCAGCAGTGCTAACCTTAAACCAGACTCTAGTCAGAAATCCAAGGGTTTAACTGACATGGAAACCCCTCAGGTACTCCCATCAGGCTGGAATCCCTTCTCATTCCCTCAGGCTAAAGCAGACGATAGTCCTACTAGCCGCGGTGACAGCGAGGTCTGGCAAAAGCGAAAGGAGTCTGGGAATAGCGTTGAGGAATCCAGTCAATCTCAGAAAATCCATCAGTCACCCACAACAGCCATGGATCGGGTCGCGACGTACATAACCAAATGTAACTTTGGGTCCCCAGACGTTAGCGACTCTGACTCCTCTGAACCTACACACCCCCATAAGAAAAAGTGCAATAATAAGAAACGCCCCAAACTACACCCCAGCATCCGCAGCCAATCCTGTGAGGAGATTGGCTCGTGCTCTCGAGAAGTGGTCACTTCAGAGATCGTAGTCAGTGCACGGCGGGAGATCCTTGAGTACGGTCGGTCAGCACTAGACCAGGACGAGGAGGACTTTGACACAAGGTCACTCAGCAGTCAGAGGTCACTTAGTAGTAGTTGTGAGATGATCGAGGTTTCATGACAGTCAGTGAGAGAGACTCTGGTACCTTGTACATTGTGTGTTATATCTTGAGTTGTTCAAACATTCAAAGTTACTCTTCAGGCTGCAAACCACAAATATGTCTACACATAAACAGGAGAATCATAAAAACAAGGGGAGATAGACATGCAAGTTTGAAGCTAATCTGTTATTAAGTGAATGTGGGTAATAGTTTTGTTTTAGTTGGTGATTCTAATTCGGTGTGGGTTCCTTAGATTTTCGACAATAGCACAATTCTAGACATATTTGATAATTTTTTTTTTAATGACAACTAAAAATGTGAAAAAAAGTTTGTGACCATGGTATTTAAGGTATTAACCAAATGACAAGAGTAATTCCTGTCTTTTTATTTATTTCAGTCTTGGTTTTTCTGTAACAGGTATGGACGTAGTATTTGATGAATAGATGTGTAACATGAACTTATTGGTGATGTGTTAACTCTTAGCTTTCTGGAGTGGGCCGATGGCCTGTAGTAGAGCGTGTCTTTGGTAGACATAGGGTTAAACTGTAATTTTGTGAGGTCTGGTGTAATACATCTAATGTCATATATAAACGTAAGATTGAATTAGAGAGCGAAGTTCTCCTGGAGAGAGTATCATGCTCTTTATTCTTTGAGAAATCTATATATTATATAACTACCCATGTGCTGTGTGCAATCATTACATTTTTCTTGTGGTAACTTAAACAGATCAAACTTATACTTGTAGCCACAACTTATTTTGTCACAATATTCAAAAATATATATATTCTATATTCATAACTATTCATTACATATTTTCAAGTATTTTTGTTGTTTTTGAATGGCCAAGTCGTGAACGAGTGATGATGAAACCGTATTTAGCTAAAGCAAAGAAAAAGTTGTTGTTTTTTAACTTGTTATTGTTTGTTGCATTTCAATTTTTGGATATGTTCGGGACAGATCTTTGTCTCTGACTTAAATCCTCATCAAGTTTTGTGTTTCTGTTTTTCATGTTTAGTTTATATAGCACAGTGGATAGTGAACCTTGTGGTTTGTTAGCACAGTACAAAAGAACAGAAAGTGGTTTGGTTGACAATCTTTGTTTTCATTTGTTTTTGATCGTTTGATGTATAACGTAGCTCAAAAATATGGTCTATTTCTCACGCAGATAAAAGTGAGGCATTCGCTATATGTTCAGTGGAACAAGTTTGATATCTTTTTTTCCTTAGTCCCATCTGACAGCTTTGCCACAAAATCTGGAAAAATCCATGACAAAATCAAAGTCTCAGGTCCACCACCAACCAAGCTGATCTTTAGTGCCTTTTTCCACTTTCATAAAAAGAGTTGTGAAAGAATTACAACAAACTGGCTTCAGCTAATTTCCGTTCTTATTCAAAGGAACTAATTTCAATGCTCTTGTGATTTTTCGACACCTTTATTTTCTCCTTCTAACTCGGAACATTCTGAGAAATAATTTCATTTTTAGTCTGCTGGCACTCAAAATAATTATGAGTGAACTCTTTTGGAGAAAGTTATGTGACTGAAGTCACACAATTAAGTCCACAATTTAGTGACATATCAGCCATGTGGACCATTTGAAGTTCAGGGCAGCATTTTCTTAATTTGTAGGACCAAGTAGTCTCCTTTTTTCTTTCTCTTTTGAAAGTAAGAAAAAGACAAACTTACGAGGCAGAAGTCTACATATCTTTACCTGGTTTGGTTCTTTGGAGGAAAAAAATCCCTAAAGTGGAAGAAAAAGAAAACCTCAGAATGAAGGGAAAAAACTTCAAAATGAATACAGGCTAACTAGTAGTAACGTTGATTGTGCATATGATGATCAAAAGTCTTGTTCTACATTCATAAGAATAAAATACACACATAGTGATAAGAAAACAATGCATGCTGAATTTACAAAACCTTTAAAAAAAGGGAAATAAACTGGGGGAAAAGTCTTCCCCAAATTGCTGTATACATTCGTAAAATCAAATTAGAGGCCCATTTTCTTGACTCTATTTGGTTTATTCGCTATTTAATTTTTGGTACTGTCTTTTTTGAGAAATCTATTTAAATTTCATAATGCTTGTGGACTCTGTAGTATATATACATCTGTTCTGCCAAAATAATGCAAACTATAGCTTTGTCTTTTTGTATGCATGTCTTAAATGTTTCAATATGAGAATTTTTTGATATGAAAAAGAGAATATTAAACACAGTGATGGTGATATATATTACATTATGTTTCGTTGAGTGAATTCTCGCTGTCCTTTTAAGTTTGGTATGCTTTGAAGAAATGAGTGTTTTTTCTACACTTTTTAAGTGAGTGTCTCTGTGTATGTCGTTGTGTACCTCATCCTCATTTCCTTTCTGTATCTCAGTATTTTTCAGCTCTTTCGTTCCTCCTTTCTTTCTCTCTTATCTTCCTTTTCTTCTCTCTTCTGTTCTCTCTAGCTGAGTGTGTATTTCTTGCCTTCTCTCTCCCTCTCTCTATCTATCTGTAACCTTTGTCACTCACATAATTCCCTGTTCTATTTTCTCTTTCCTCCTTATTTGTTACTGACACTCAAGTTATTATAACTATTTTGTGCTAAATGACCCCCCCCCCCCTCCGAAAAAGGGATAAGAAATTAGCATGCCATGGTGTGAATTTGTGAATTTTATTCTTTATTTATTTATCTACGTGTTGCCATGGTATTCAATGAAAACCCTTATACACTAAAAAGAATAGGTACACAACATTCACACAAGTTCATTAATCAACCCAGTCAGCTTTTTCGTGAGATTTCACTAGAAATCCTCCCTATGATTCCCTGGTTAATAGATTATGAGCCTTCTCCCAAACTCCTGTATTATGAATGGGATATAGAGAAGTAAGTTACTATCCCCAACATCTTATTTCTTGCTAGCCTCATTCAAAACTTAAGACATTATCCATGACATTTCGTTCAGAACCTTTTTTTGTGTGCACAAGTTGACAGAAAATGTGACAGAAAAAGCAACAAAAATACCCAAATTAGAGTAGATCAAACTATCAAAGGAGTGAGCAGATAAATTTGTATAGTTGTATGTATATTTTTACATCAAAGCCACTATTAATTCAAAGTTAATCAACATTGCATAATAATTAGACAATTTTTCAAGTCTGAAGCCAGGCCAAACTTGCAAATGAAATCAAGCTCCAGTGATGACTAAGTACAGTCTCCCGATGCATTTACTAATGCAACTGTCCTGGCAAATTAGGGCCTTGCAACGCCTTCCTCTTAAAGCTCTTAACTTTCATTTAAGGAGCCTACTGCAGGGTCTTAATGAAATCTTAATAAAACCTTCCTCATCGTTTACGATTGACCCATCCCATTTTTAATTTCATCAACAATTTGGAAACAGGGTTGACCTGGAAAGGTCGCCAGAGACTGTACAGGAACATTACCATCAAGGAGCTTTAACCACTCCTTAATACTAGATACATGTGCCTAGTCCTCTCTTTGCAAGTATACTGAGGTTAATTATTTCTTTGCCATGGTTATGTTGAGAGCCAAAAAGGTTTTAAGGTACCAGTATATCATTTAGCAAAGAGATAATGCCTTTCTGCCTCCCAAGGGAAGTTATAGAGTGCATGATATTTATTCGACCCCTAGCTGTCCCACAGGAGTTTGATGGTCTCCATATTAAACCCTATGGGAAGTCAGTAAACAATGTTTTAAATCCTCAGGCATTTAAAATGTTATATATAATTTTGACAAGAACCTTAATGAAATAATAACAATAAGAATACGTCCATCTCCCTCTCATCAATCCATCTTTCTGTCAATGAATTCCTCTCATGCTAAGTCTGTTTTCCTCCTTGTTTCTCTCTCTCTCCCTCCCCCTCCTCTTTCTCTCTCTCTGTCACTCTTTCTCTCCCTCTCTTTCTCCTGTCTTTCTGTTTTCCTCTCTTGTTTTCTTTATCATCCTCCTGCATTCTCGATATCTTCCTTAATTCTTTTCCCTTGGCCCATTTGATTCTTTAGTGTAGATGTGATCTGTCTGTATACATGTACACATTATTTGAGTATAGGTATACCTCTCACATATATGTACACTGTCTCTCTATCCTGTCTCTTCCTGTTGGTTATTACTATATTTGTTGCGAATGTGTTTGTTTGTTTGTGAATGTAGTTTGACAATGCTGCACTTGTTCAACGCCTTGAACACTGGTAATGATGATATATATATACTACACAGTCTCCAAGCTAAATAGACTTCAAACAGAAACAAAACGTGAATACAAACATAACTTACACTTAAAACGATCAAGATATTATTTCATATTTTTGAGCAAAATGCAAATACAAAGATGGCATAAAATGATTGTGTTTTTCTTCTTTCACATGCTGTCCGTACAAACAAGTACTGTGGATTATAACAGTTTGTGTCCTGCGTGCTATCAGAGTTTAGGGATAAATTCAAATGGGAAGAAAAACTGTAAATGCTGTTTCGAGCTAATGAGAACAGACAGAAAAAGGAAGTGTTCTAGGCCACCAGTCAGCCAAGTTCCTCCGCGGAAGACAAGTAAAAAAAGTTGTAAGATGAATCATTCTCTTTCCCTCTCAGACCTCGATCTTAAACCCTTTCTTGCTCTGTGCCCCCCCCCCCTCATTTTCTTTTCTTCCTCCTCTTCTTACTTTCTGCTCCCCTGACACCCCTCCTCCCCCTCCCGGTCATCCCCTGTCCCCCCCCCCCCTTTCTGGAGAAGACTGGTAGAAGCCCACCCCCCCCCCCTCAGCCTTTGGGTTAGATAAGTAGGTGTTCGGATATTCAGTGATGACAACATTTTGATTGAAATCATGAGCTGCCCATCCCCCCCCCCCCCCAAAGAAAGAGTTCCACCCACATTTTGAATCCGGACGTATTACCCCCTAATCTGAAAATCTTCAAGACCTTACTGTTACGTGTTTTCCCTTCCAATACTGTGTAAAGATAAGGTTCCATCTCTCACCCTCCTCCCCATTTCCATGTTTATATTTGGTACCATGGCAACACACCACTTCTAGACAACGTTCCCAGATGAACCAAAAGGTCTTCATACCTCAAAAGTGATTTAACAAACCCCATGGTAAACAAGTTGGTTATGTTTAATTACAATTAAAAAGGTAATACATGGGGGTTTTAAAATCAATCAATGTTTCTGTGGTACAAATTCTTTGTTCGTTGTCTCTCTCTCTCTCTCCATAGTTATAATTCATATCTCTACTAATTTAAACTTGTCTATATCTCTTTCTCTGTGTGCCTCCCCCCCCCCCCCCCACCCAACAAAATGCACTTTTTCTTGATCCCTATGAACTTCATGTCTCCCTATACCGATCACTTCCCACTCCCCCCCCCCCCATCTCCTCCACCCTCTATGCCACAAATATGTTATGTAACATCAATAGTACACTGGACAGATGTGATTGAATTAATTACTATGCTATCACTTGAAAACCCATTGTTTTAGTTAAACCATGAGGTGGATATCTCTTTATAATAATTTTCCACTCGTGTTAAGTTCTAAGTGTTTGTTCAAATCATGATGATATCAAGACAATAATTATAAGCATAATTGTTTTTTGATACTCAGGTATTACTATAAACATGTATTTGGTACTTTGGTATATATCATTTTTTCTCTGTGGTTACATTGTGTTTGTTTTATGATATAAATGTATAGACAAGAAATGTACTCATGTCATAAATGATAATTTGTTGATGCTTTTGTCACAATTTATATTTCTTTAAGCACTCAGGCTATTTTGAATATTAAAAATTGTTTTTGAATGGATGTCAAAGTGATGCACTTGTAGTGGATTTTCACCATAGCATGATCACAGAAACTTTCAAAAAATCAACCTCGGGCAATTTCACTAGCATTGCACATAACAATGACACAAACATGATTTCTATGGAATATATAGTAGGGTATTGAAAATGTCCATGACTTGATTTCTTGAAAGCTTTTGTGATCGTGTCACAAGGAAATCTATTGAATTAGGAATTATTGACAGTAGTACTAAAAGTATATGAAAATGATATGTTTTGTTTGATTGAAATATATGAATATATGAAGTGAAATGATATGTCAAGAAAACTGTTTTGAATTGATAATGCTTGGCTGACAAGAAGATTAGATGTTTGTGTACTATAAAGGTCAGACAACCAAATAGTTGAATGGAGAGGAAATACTATGAATTATTTGAAAAAGAGAACATACATGACTTGTATTATGTTAACAAAATACAAATCTAGTTTGTGATGTTTGAAATTGAGAGTAGAGAAAGGGGGAGATAATAGATAATAGAGAGAGAGAGAGAGTGTGAGAGAGAGAGAGAGGGAGAGAAGAAAGAGCAAGAAATTAATAGTTGATTGGTAGAATTGCTCATGATATATTTGCATTCCATTAAGTAGTAAGTGCAGAGATAAGTAACAAGCACATATGTGATATTGATTAATCATTGTGATATGATAAACTGTGAGAACTTACATTTTGGAGTTGTTTTATTTTCTTGTTAATTGAATAGTTGATCTCAGTAGTTTTATGTAATACAAATTTATTGCATTGGTTTAAAAATTGATACATGTGATTGCAAAAATGTGTTTTAACTTTCAATATTTTCCTTGGTTTTGTCATTATTCAGAAACTTTAAGTGTTGCAAGGTATGCATTTGTGTATTAGGTTTAATTTTGTTAACTGTTTAATCTTAATTTTCTATGAATGAGCAAAGTTTGGTATAGCACTGATGCAAATAGTTGAAAGTATATAAAGATATTGAGTCGGTGGTGAGCGTTCAGTGTGACTTGCGAAAAAGGAGGGTTGGAGCACTGAAGAAAAAGTTTTTCACTAAAAAAATATAAAATAGTATTGAGCCAGTACCTATAGAAAACTAGAGCTATGCAGAATAGGAACTTTCATGATATTAAATAAATTACAGGAAAATAAAAGTATTAACAGAAAAATTAGATGCCTTGTGAATGTTGATTGGTGTGAGAATATAACGAAAATAAAAAAGAATGATGATAGAATATATTTCATTAGTGGAAACATATTGTGTACAGTGCATTTATATTGATGAGTATATCATATTTGTGAAGCGGGATTTTTGAACGAGTATCAGCATTATCACTAGAAAAAAGTGACATATTGACAGAATTTATGCATTTATACTATGCCATGATCGGGTGTTAAAAGTAAAGTGGGTTTCTTCAGGTGCAGTGTAAGTGT